ATGTTGCTATTTATATTTTATGTATGTGAACAGAACAGGAACTAGAAGCACCAAAGCTGCAACATTAAGTGCTCCCAAACAGAGAAAATCCAAAATTAATATTCTGATTTTTCTCATCTGAACAGTAATGTAAATGGTGAATGACCAGCTAAAATCCTTGCCAATGAAATTTGCAAACTCTAGGGATAGATGAGACAGTAAACAAATAATTGAACTCTATTAATTAAATGGTCATTACCTCAAAAAAGATAGATTTTTTGTATACCTAATGGTATAACTACAAGGCAGTGCATCTAGAAAATGGAACAATGCTGTGCAGGGCACAAATTATTCCCATTTTATACTATTTGTGCAGTACAATGTAGCAGTAATGGTGGGCCTGGGATGTACAAAAAGAACAACACCCAGTAAGAAAAGGGGAGTAAGGCTGTAACTGGGGGCATGCAGTTCTGAGAAGTGCATGCAGTTCTGAGAAGTGGATTTTTACAAAAGATAAAGATTTCTGAAGAGGACTCCAGGAGGGCTAAAAAAAGGTCAGAATTTAGGGTGTAGGATTTATTCAGTTGATAAAAGATATGTTTGAGAGTTGGCTTCATCTCTTCACAAATTTCTTTGCAGATTTTTTACTAGATTGTATGTAACTTTCTAATGAAGGTGTGATAAAATCCAGGGATTACCAGCTAAAGTTAAGCAAATTCTGCTTTGAATTTAATCTTTATTTTCTGTCAGGGCAAGGGACTGAAGGCTTGAATAGTTTGTAAAAGGAAGACTAAAGTGGTCAATAAATGCTTTAAAGTATGAGTAAACTAAATTTTTCGTAAGATTAAAAGTTAATTTTTAAATTCTGTTTCTGGGAGAAATTTTGTGGCCTGTGTATGTGGGAGATTAGACTGGTGGGCTATGACTCTACCTCCAAAGTTTGACATTTGACATATATTAGCACTGTTGCCTTTCCTTCCAGGACAGTAAATGCTCTTGTATACTTTGATGGGTTTGGAGGTTTCCAGTTGTCATATTTTTACTTTACTCTCTTTGGTTCATTTCTTTCTGTTGCATAAGGTGCACATTGTAACCTGAACATGTTGCCACCTGAACAGTTGTGAATTAAATTGGAGCAAGAAACATGAAGTCACCCCACCTTGCTTTTTGCATCACCCTCATAATGTACAAATGCAGGTCCTGGTACTCTTCAGCCATGGCTTGACTGTTAAAGACAAACTGAAATGGGAGCCACTTCACTTTTCCATGCTGCACTATGGAGGGCAGTGAACTGATTCAGAAGTAGTAATGTTAATCCCTTTCTAGAACAGCAACTTGCATGAGAGGTACCTGGAGCAAGAGCTTTGTCAGCTGCCACGAATTTATCTGCTACTGCCTCTGAGTCAACACCCAGAGGTAGCAACCTCTAAATTACCTTTAAAGAAACTGCTCCTGGGCAAGTCTGTGCAACCCTCTCAGCACTGTGCCATTGGTTTGGAAAAGCTTTTCACTCCCACTTTTCTCTGCTGCTTGCAGCAAAGTGTGGGCTGCTAAAGCAGTTGGGCTGAGCACCATGACTGCACCTGTAGCCCTCACCCAGCAGCTGCCAGTGCAACAAACCCAGCCTTCTGTGTGTGCTCTGCATCCAGCATTCCCAGAACTGTGATTTACCAAGGACATGTGTCGCTTCTCCTGGCTCTTGCTTAAAGTCAGCCACTGCACCCGAGGAGTGCTTTCAGAGGCAGCCCCACATCTGCCTCCCCTTCCTCAACTTCTTCTGATCTGTGGCGTGGAAATTCCTTTTTCCACACCGTTCCAGATACACTCATCCTTAGGCAGAGTCGCAGCCTGGACATTTAATCACAAATCATTAATAACTCAGATGATATAACAAAAAAAAAAAACAAAAAAACAAACAACAAAAAACAACAAAGCCCCATGAAGCACAGTAAATAGTTTTGGTGAGAGACTTTATTTGCTAATGTGTGTACAAGGAGAGAGTCTTAGCTATATTGCTCCTATTTCTATTTCTAGTTTATTTTTAAATATGTAAAAAATTACATGATGTTACAAGCACATGATATGTGAACTGTCCTTAGAAATGAGGAGGTAAAAATATGAAAGTCAAGGAGCATGCCAAATTCTATGCTGATGCTACATGTCCTAATAATTTTGGCTACAAATCCTTTGTTGTGTAAATCATATACAAATATTCTCCAACACACAGCCATTGGACTTAGCTTTTCTACTTGCACTCATCTATTGTATAAAAATTTACCCTTCTGTAGACTGAAATAATTACAGCAGAGATTAATGACTTAAGTGGAAGACCTTAGCCTTGCTTGTTTAAGTATATAAATATGACAATGTTTATTTGAAACAATTTTAATTCAAAACATTAAAATATGTTCAGCATCATGTTCATCTATGTTTAGAGTATCTAGTTTCATGGTCAGTAATTCTTGAATTTTGGAGTGCCTGACAATGTCTGCAGCATGAGTGTGTGTTTATCTCTGATTATCATAATTTCTGAGTACTGTCAGAGCACTTCAGTTAATGACACAAACAAAAGAATAATTTTTGTTAAAATCAGTGGCGTCATAATATTTAACTTGACTCAGAAACCCTACTGATATTTCTTACATTGTGAATGGTTGGCCACAGCAGTTCTATTTCCAAGGAAGCATTTGTGGAGCTCTCTTTCATTTAAGATTATGAATTGCAATAGTGCTGAATAAGTAAAGCTTGCCTTTTTAAGATTGAGTTTGAGATGGTCTCATAATTTTTTCTGTCTTTAAATTCAGTTATTCTAATAATGTGGTAAGATATTGATAGATATTGCTACTTTTACGTATTATGTCAGTGATCTTAAAATGAAACTGGTAGCTGCAAACACCTACGTACTAACTCTGCTTCTGATAGCAAATCCTTTGGGGGATGTAGGCAGGTTGCCAAATCTCTCCTCTACTTCCATTCTTCAAAAATAGTGCTTGTTAGTAAGTGTTGTTTAATAGTATTGCATATGATGTGTATCCAAAATGGGGAGCACAGCAGCAGTGTGTGCCTGCAATAATTAATGTGTCAGAACACAGTAACAAGGTACTTGTGATGCTAAATTTGACTTAACTAAGCCATTTTTCATCCCTGAGGTCCCAAGAGATTCAGTATCGAAAGGAAGCAGACAAAAGCTAAGTGGCACTGGCTCTTCAAAGATCTTTGAGAGAGCCAGGCAATCTAAGGGATGCCTTGGAACCTGTGCCATGCGACTCTGGGGCAGATGGTCTGTGTGGCAGCTTGGGCACCAGCATGAGTAGTTCAGAAAGTTTCTGTGTGCTGATTATTTCTTGTGTCCCCAAGATAGAAGTCCATTTGTACAGACAGTGGTCTGTGTGACAGTGACCCAGGCAGGCAAGGAATATGCTTCTTCACAAGATGGTCTGACTTCATAAGGCACTTTCTGCATCCACATAGAAGACGGTGCCCTCAGGATCATATCTAGGACTGGCATCTTCCTTATTGTCTGGGTGACTTGACATCCCTGGAGGTGACTGGACCGACTTTTTCCTCTTTGTGGTTATTTCTTCAGATCACAAACATCACATGACTTACTGGCAGTTTATGTATAAATACAGCCTATTTTGCAAGGTTGTGATGTGTGGTGTAGTTCTATAGTTCTATTAAGAGTAACCTGAGACACAGGGAGTGTTCAAAAGGGATGATAGCCAGAAAGACTGTGTTAGGGATGAGAATGAAAGGAAATCAGCCAGCAGGGCTCCAGGCTCTGGTTCTTGTGTAGCACCTTGGATTCTGCTGGTTTTCGGACCCCGTGTATTGGGCAGAGCAAAGAGCAAGGCAAAAGTTCTGTGTCTGCAGTAGGAGGCCAAGTGACTGAGACATGTAATTATAGACTTGACTGACCTCAGTGCATACCTGTGTTGTTTTTTACACTTTACACATAAATATCTATAGCCCACCAGTTCTTATAATTCAGTTTTGCAAGAAATACAATTTATAAACTAGGAAAATCCAGAAGCTAGATTCTTCGGTGAAAAGGTCAACTATGGGAAATTATTTCTGCAGAATGTTATCACAGAAGCTGGGTAAAAATGGAGAAAAATGCTGCCAAACACCTACTGCAGCTATTTTACATGCAGAGTACTCCAGAGAGATTTCCTGAAGTCAGGACCTACAGGAGTCAAAGCACTTTCAAGACCTGGCACAGAGCTCCATCCAACTACTGCATTTTTCATCACAGCATTGGTGGCAGTGAAGACGTAGATGTTATAGTGATGTAGCACTCTGGGGGTAGGCTTGGTGCTCCTGCTCTGACACCAGCAGCCTGGGGTTTGCTCTCAGTGTCCATATACAGGTTGCAATTAAGATTTTTCTTCATTATGTAAGGAATGATTTTTGGCCAGGTGCCCGTTCCCAAACCTTGTGTATCCGTGCAAAGCGGGGAAGTGGCCTGCAGGAAATGTCTGGAACACAGTGTCTGTGGTGAACAAGACAGAGGAAATACACAGGTCTTGATTCTTTGCTGCTCTATAGTTCTGGACAAGGTATCTGGAGAGAGCTCCAGGGGCTGCCCTAGACTGATGAATGTACACAAAACTTGACATAAGGAGCTAAGTTTGCTCTGTGGGGCCAGCAGCAGCAAGGCTTACAGAGGAATCGTGCACAGAGATGGGCCATTATGCAACCTGTCAGAGGGATAAAGTACTTCTATTTCCACTGGGCAATAAAAAGTGCCTATCATTAATCAAAGTAATGTAAAAGATTCTTCTCAGCATTTGCCACGACAATTCCTAGTTTGCTATTGCTGCTATAAAGGGTGTCTATTGAAGCCGCCTGTGTGAAGCTGGCCACCTTCCTCCTCTTTCTGAGGCTGCACAGGGGAAGAGGAGAGCTCTGAGCATTGCAACCTTACCGCAAGGTCTGTAGCATGCAAGTGGCACATGGGTCTGCTTGGATTTCTTTCTATGCCTACCAGGCATAGACTTTGTATCCATTTCTTTTCCTAGTGTCCAACAAGCACCATTTTATGGACAGCAACTTGCTCTACCAGTGCAGAATGAATTTCCGCCGGCGGCGGCGATTAATGGAGCTCCTCACTGAGAAATCTCGCTTGATGCCAGAAAGCCATGACAGCCCGTTCTGCCTGCGCAAGCAGAACCATGACAACAGGAAACACACCAGTTTTCTCTCAGGTGACTCATTAATTACACTGCTGTTTGTAGAGTGGCTCCATGGAGTATTAAAAGATTGGTTTTGGACAAAGGGTTTCAGTGTTAGAAAAAAATGCAGGGTTGAGTATTATATGTCCCTGTTCATAGGGATTGTCCATTCACTCATTTTACCAAACCTACAGCTCCCTGGGGAATATCTGTATTAACGGCATTTCAGATGCTGATCAAAATTTGGGATCCACATTCAAACTGAATTGGTTAAAGCCCCCAAACTCAAAGTAATTTGTCATACATTCTATGGAGACTTTTCAAGAAAATTAAAAGTGAGGGGAAGGGGTCCTGCAGCATTTGTGAACAGTAATATCTAGTAAGAACTGAAAGAAGGGAAAGAAAAACTGGAAAAATGTAGTTCCCTATATTGGAATGCCTCTTAGAAGACACTGCAATGGGAGCAGTTCAGCCATACTGCTAGTTACAGCATTACTCTCATACAGTGACTCTTCTAACAATGTAGGCCATACTAATCCATTTCCAGTGTTGTCAGTGAAAGCATAGCTTGTTGCTGGGTTGTTTTTTTTTTTTAAATAAATAGGGAAATGGCTTAATAACTGGTACCTGATCCCTCTCTCTCTTTGTTTTCTCTCTGCTTGCAGTGAGTCCCACCAAGGAGATAAAGATCGTGTCGGCCGTGCGGAGGAGCAGCATGAGCAGCTGTGGCAGCAGCGGGTACTTCAGCAGTAGCCCCACGCTCAGCAGCAGTCCCCCTGTGCTCTGCAACCCCAAATCTGGTGAGCACCAGCATGGCTTACAGTGCACAGCAGCCAGGGCACAGACATCTCTGTGGGGAGAAGGTGACATGAAGAATGCCTATCATCACGCCTAAGCCTCTGTTTCCAAGAATACATTAAAAATTCACAGTTTTTGTAGGCCAGAGGGAACTATTATCATCTTCTAGCCTGAAGTCCTGTTGAACACAAGCCAGACGTCTGCCTTCAGTAATCTCTGCGTCAAGTCCATAATTGTGGTTTGAACTGCAGTTTATCTCTTAGGACTACATGCAGTCAGAGGCCTAGATTTGCCTCTTTGCTGCCAAGCTCTGAACCAATTCAAATCTCCTCTTAGAGACATTCCTTTGGTGCAAGTCAGAGAAGAGTTTAACTATCCAGTGACTGCTTGAGCTGCTATGGAGTAACACCCCTCAGAAAACAGCAGGCTCTTAAAAAAACTGAGGCAGCATTGTTTCAGCCTATCAGAAACCATTTGAACATTTTAATTTGTTTTAAGTTTTACACTGGTCTGTTTCAGAAGGTAGAAGTAGTATTGAAGCTTATTTTCCTTTTGAAAGGATTTCCTATCCCACGCCGGAAGGTTAAACACACCCATTCTTCCACAGTTCACTTAAATTGTTTCTTACTGTACATCTGGGAAGGGAAAAGCAGACCAAGATAGATATTGTTTCAGTCTCTCTGTTTCCCTCAGAAATAGCTCTGAATATCAAACAGGGCCCCTGCTGCCCTTTTTGTTTCTTATTATTTCAAATTCACCAAGTCCCTGCCACTGGTGTGGGGAGTACTGTAAAACAGGGTAAGATTTCAGTGGATATGTGTAATCTTTGCTTTCAGAAGCATGCTGGCATTTGAAGTGATTACAGGAGAGTGCCTCAAGCACTAGGTGAATGCTGTTCCAAACATTGACCATTTACTCTGGAGATGAGTGAACTAAAGTGTGTTTCATTCCTGCTGTGCAGAGTGGCCATCAGAAAGGGAAGGATATTTCCCCTCTCTCTCCTTTTAGCACATTTCCTTCCCTCTGCTTCATCTCTGTTGGGAATTCAGTATGCAGCTCTGAACTAAAATAATTAGAAGGACACAGTAGGGTTATTTGCTCAGAAGCCACAACCCCCTCCAGCAGACCTGCTGCCCAGCAGAGGAAATGCTGTCAGTTCTAGTGGCCATTGCAGCCTTGGGGTGTGTTACTCTTGGGTGTTCAGCACCATCTTCCAGTTCGCTCACCCCTTCATGCAAGGGGCTTGCCCCTAGATAAAGGGTGCTACAGGATCATGTTTTAGCAGAGCATCTCTCAGGTATACTTTGCAGAAATGCTCTGGTAGCTTTGGTATGGGGAGTTCTTTGTTCCCAGTACATTAATTACATCCTGGAAATTTTTCTGGAACAGATAAAACAGCATTCATGTGCTATCCATAAATGTGGGCGCTATCTAAAGTATGCCAACTATTCCGTTCATTTATGGTTCTGATTTTATATGAAGTGTCAGTCCATGAGTAGTGAGAACAAGTTTATTTTAATGCAGCTGATTACACAATACTGGAATAAAAAGAATAGGCTGATGTTGTTCTTGCATAAATTTTTTAGAAGAAACATTCCCTTAGGACTAGTTTTCAAACTGTGAATAGCTTTAACAGAATCATATTTGAAAGAAGACAGCAGTGGGCTTATAAACAGGCTGACTTTTCAGAATTATACGATTACTGGTAATGTAGGGTTATTTCTCCCAGAACACAAGTACAGATCCACACATCAGCTTGCATAGGTTAACATAAGGCTGTCAGATGGAAATGTTATGAGGAATTCTTAATCCTCTACTCACTATAAGGAGACTTTATTCACAAGTAGCTTCCTGCTATCCAGACCCAGAGCGTGTTGCTGAACTACGTGCTGATAAACACAAGGCAGAGGTGTATTTGTTGTCACACAAGCTCTCTTACAGGCAATCACTTAAAAAATACCCAGGTCATGACTTGACCAACCATGTAGAAAAACGATCATCAAACAAAAAAAATTCTAGAGGTATGATGAAGAGAGGCACATAAGAGAGCTCTTCGTGGATGATTTACCAGATTCTGACTTGTCAAATGAGCACAGTCGTTCAGTTTTTTTCACATTGACCAGACATGCTCTGCAAAGATTAACACTGGCTAAATGACAGTTCATCAAAATGCATGGGAAGGTTAAAAAAAAAAAAAAAAAAGGTATTGGTTTGTCTGCTAGAATTCTCCCTGCTCCCATGAATGTCATTAAGAAACTCAAGAACATCTTCAAATACCATCTGTGAGAAATATTGTCTCCCACTTGTGACTGAAAAGACAGACACCATCAAAATTATTTATCACTAAAAGAAAAACAGCCATATTATTAAGGGTGAAGCAGGCAAATGGGGTGAACAGCATATATCTTTATGTTGTCCTTTGAAGCATTTATGGACAGATAAAAAGTGATACACAGGATGGTATTGATTTGATCTGGCAGAACTTAAAATTTAATTTGTTTGGAGGAAAATTATGCCATTACATGGGAAGGCAATGGGGACCTGCAGAAACTTCCTGGTTTTGCCTTTCATTTAAAATCCCAGACAACTGTAGGTTACCTTGTCTGTCCCTGGATAAGATGGGAGTTGTAGGTCTGTGCCTACAGTTGCAGAAGTCTCTTGAGATAATTCCTCACCCAGGCAAGATTTTCTTGCTGTTCAGTTCTGTGATTCAAACCCAACTCAGATGAAATAGCAGAGAGCACCCAGCAAGTACATAGTGAACTGTGAAGGAAAGATGCTCTGTGCCAGGATGGTTGGTCACTTGTTTCAACACTGGACAAAGGAAAAGCCACTTTTGCATTTTGTAATAGTGTTTAGGGGATTTTGGTTGCAGACAACAAAGTCTGTTGGCTAAATGCTCCAGTTTTCCAAAGATCTCAGCATTTATACTCAGTGTTATTCTGCTGGCTTTTCCTTGGTTCTCTTACTGCTTTCAAGCAAGTCTGCAAGAATTGAAAGCATGTATGGGAAATGAGGCTAAAAAGATGTATCCCAACACTGTATCTTATTTATTAGAAGAAACTCCTAAGGATTGTTTTTATTGAATATTCATTTCTGTACCTCCACAGTATTAAAGAGACCTGTGACTGCTGATGAGCTCTTGATGCCTGGAGCCCCATATGTTAGAAAAACTTTTACGGTATGTCTCCAGTATTTTTCTTTATTTTCTTCATGTTATATGCATATGGGCAATCCAACGGACATTTTTTGATGGGATAATTAGAGCTCATTTGTATTTGCTGAGGTTTATACTGCAAACTCCCAAACTCCATTATCAGTACTTCCACAAATTACAAGTCTCATTCAGCACTTGTTTATTCTGTGTTTATTGCCAGTGTGATACTTAAAGGGGGTGTAAAATTACATAAAGCCAATAACATTTGTGTTATACAAACTCATCTGGACTTAGTTCTCCTGCTCTGCAGGAGCGGATTACCTACCCAAATCAAAGTTTTCTTAGCAGAGACTTTCTACATAATGAGACAGAAAATTTGACTAACATACATTTTTAGAGCCCTTATTTAAAAATGTTCTTGAACCTAGTCATTGGAAGCATTGCTTTTACAGCCTCCTAGTTCAACAAAGAAACTTCATTAAAAGTGAGAGGAACCATTTGGATAGAGCCTTTCCCATGAGTGACATAGCAGCCTGTACTCTACTATGTGTTGGAAGTACAGAGATGTTGAAATGACATCTCGGACCATTTAGCAGTTGCCCCCTTGAATTTCACGGAGCTGTTTGAAAGAGGTCATGTCCTTTCCCCTTTGCAGATCGTTGGCGATGCCGTGGGCTGGGGCTTTGTGGTGCGGGGCAGCAAACCCTGCCACATCCAGGCTGTGGACCCCAGCGGGCCAGCGGCCGCGGCTGGCATGAAGGTGGGTTCTCAAAATGGGATGATTTCCCAGGGAAATTTTTGCTGCTCGGTGAAGGTCTTGGGTTGCCTGCATTTGGGGAGGGAGACGTGCTTTTTTTTTCCAGTGTGCCTTTGTCTCAGTTTCAGGCATTTGTGCACAGTGAGTTTTGTTGTCTTTAAACCCCCTCCTGTTTCTTTTCTTCTGTTCCTGAGATTCTTGAAGTCTCTTTTTCACATGAGACTCAATTATTCTTTCCAGGTTGTTCTTTTGACCTTTTCCCTTTTTGAGGTGGATTTTCATTCATGTGGTTGGCTGGTTTTGGTAGTGGTGGAGTTCTTATTTTTTGATGGATTTTGCAATTTTGCATTTTTTTTTTCAACTCTGCACAATTTTGGCTTCCCTCTTTACAATTTATGTGACTGCTGGTATACACCTTCTGGATTTTGCCTTTATAGGAACAGGCAAAGTCAGACATAACTAGTGAGAGTGAAGCTAGCATAGCCCACTGTTCAGTGTAAAGCAGTTAAGATTCAAGACAGTTTGGAAAGAACAACAGATAATACTTTCATAAAGAGCTGAAATAGCTTCATAAATGATTTAAGAATCAATAAATACATGTTCCACTTTTATCTTTTGCACTGCAATGCAGAGCCCATTGACTTACCTGTGGGCTTGGATCACATCCTGCATATATCTGTGAATTAATCTCTGCTTTGTACAAAGAGAAAAATAAAGGCAAAGTATTATGTTAATACAGATAAAAGCAAGAAAATTGAGTTAGCTGCTCTGCTACACCTGCTCCAATGGCCAGAAAGATTAAACTACCAATTTATGCCATGCTTTATTGTATAGCAGCAACACAGATTAAGGTTTCAGGTGTATTCCACATGTACTCCAGTTTCCATTAATTTTATCCAGCCTTCTAATTCATGTCTCTTTTCCATCACACTCATCCCAGTTGTCTGTGACCTGTCTATTCACACCCACCAAGCTGGAGGCCACAGCTCCAGGGATGCACATCCTGCCTGCTGCACGGTGCCAGACCTGCCATGGGACCCTCCTCAGCAAGTGCAGGACAGGGGTTTCTGCTTTCTGGATGCTGATTCTTTTTTAAATGGAACTTTCAAGCACATGCTGTCTTTGAAACTTTTTTTAGTATAGGTAGGCAAAACCCCTGGGACAGGGAATGGCAGCTGCAGAGCTTGTTGATGCATGCAGCACCCAGACACATCCTGCTGGCAAAGAAGCCTAAGTTCCGAGGAAGTTTCTGAATATAATATACATTTACAATTTTTATATGACAAGTATAATTTTCAAATAATGACCCTGCCTAAAATGTAAAGGGCCTAAGTTTAAAAATAATTTATTAATTCATGTGCATATTCTAAATCCTGAACTTGGGAGCTTAGTATTTTACAGCAGTTTTATTCTCTGAATATAGAAGCTAGCAATACAGTGGAGCGATTCTGAAACCTGACTTGTAAAAACAACACTCTGATGTCATATGTGTCATCCCATGGGGTTACAGAGGTCTACCTGAACCATTCAAGATTGAGGAATGCAAAATAGTTCACTGTCCTGAAAGGAACAACCAGTGTTGTAAAACTGGGATATATTGCCTTGATTTTACACAAGGACAGATCTGATTATTTTCAAAGCTGTTATCTTTATATGAAAGTGCTTTTCAGAGCAGAATTGACATAAAAATTTATAGCTGTCTATGAGATGAACCCCTCTTTAGACACAAAATTTGTTGCCCCATTTTTGGAAATGCTGATTACCTTTAGCCTAGTAAGAGATGGTGTTTTTCTTTGAAAATAAGGGCTTTTGTTAGATGTTCCCATGGCAATACGTATGTAAATCATAGTGCAGTATTTGAAATTTTAAAAAAATCTATGTCACTTAATCCATCTGTTTACAGAACTCCTCAATCTGTCAAATTTAAAGAAATCAAATGACAGGCTTTAGATGACAGCTCCTTGAAATTAAATATTCCCCTGTGTGGAAGCTGCAGGAAAGGCACTTTGAAAACAGGCTGTTGGGCATGGTAACTTCTGGTGGGCTGGTGCAAGAGGCTTTTGTCTGCAAAAAGAGTGCTACAGCAAAGAAGCGCTAACAAGGAAAGTTGGCTATGATGAAAAGGCCAAGAATTTGAAGAAGGGCCAAGCCTTGGCGTTGCAGTTTGTCGAAAAGTTCTTGGCAGTAGCAGCAGGGATTTTCCTCCTAAGGAGATGCATCCACTGTAATTGTTTCTAGAATGTCTTTATTTGTAAAGCTTGTGGTTTTGCACTTGCCTGCTTTGGAGAGCACTGTTTTTCTGTCTTTGCATTATTCTGTACATACTGTAGAGAGGGGACTGCTGCCTACAATGTCATTGTAGGACCTTGGTTTGTGCATTTAAAGTTCTACCATGTATCACAGAAAGAAGTAAACATTGCAGGCTCAACCTTACCTGCTGGACTTAGTGGGGACTTGCTTTCAGTTTGAGCTTGTCTGGGCTCTTGGCCTGCTCCAGAGTGCTGTGAGTTGGGAGTCTGTGTAGAAAACTCGGGACAGAGCTCTGACCACCCACAGTGGCTGTGCCTGGGCACGGCGTGAGCGGATGGGACACATGGGCTCTGTCACATGTGCACCTCAGTGTGGCAGATGTGTGACATCCTCTTCTGGGGGAATTTTCAGACTATTTCTGACAAAATCCCTACTAGCATGATCTGCTGAAGAGGCTGATGATCTGCTGAGAGGCTACAAGCTTTAGGATTTAATCCCTCTTCTGGGGCTGGTAAATAGGATTACCACTCACAGTCTGAAATTTCAGGTGTGAAGCTGAGAAAATAATTCAATAAATATCTAGTCAATTATATTTATTAAAGTATTTTTGGACCTGGTTTGCTGAAGTGTGTTTGCCTGTGACAGTGTTATGAGGAGAGTGGTTGCTGCAAGTGCATTAATAAGTGGGAGCTGGAGGCAACGCGAGGCTATGAAAGGAGTCAGTGTTGTGATGCGTTCTTCTCAGTTATTTGCAGCTCTGTTTAGCTGTCTGCTGTTGTCAGCATAGCAGACTGGAACAGCAGGATTTTGAAGTTCCCAGGTTGCTTTAAAATTCATTACTGATTGGCTGAAAAATCTGGTTCTCTGCAGATGATACTGCTAAATATTGCCAGCTGTTGTCAGTAAAACTCTTTTTCTCTTTTTTTAGTGATTTATTCTGTAAGTTCATTTCTGCTTTTAAGGTGCAAGTATTTTTTGAAAAGTTACAACTTGACTTCAAACTAGTGACTCAAATTATGCATCACATAACAATGTGATTTAGTGTGATATAACTGCAACAGAGTGTGATGGAACAAGCAGACCTAGCTAAGTATGAGGCTTGTGAGAGAGATAAATTAATCACTCATTTTGCTGATCATCTGTTCATCCCACTGGCTGGAGAAATCAATGCCCTACTCAAACTGTTAGAAGAAAGCTATCTGATTCCTTAAAGTGACTTTTAGCAAATTAGTATTTATAGCTGTGACACCTAAGGTCCTCAAATCATACAAGTTGCCAGTGACTGTTTAAGCTTTTCAAGCCTAGATCGTGATTTCAGCAGCAAGGAGTCAGCAGCAGGGAGTTTGAAGGACCACGTGCTGTCACTGGTACCAACACCTTCTGTTTGGAGCTCAGCTTGGGAACTGTAATGTGCAGCCAGGACCTTTTCAGCATGGTTCTGCTCTCCTGGTCTCTAAAAGCTGGCACAGGGAGGAGATCAGCTTTATATATTTTCTGCCTCTGCATTTGTGTTCTGCATTCACAAATTATTATTTCAGGTTAAGCTTCTCAAATGATTTCACTAGCAGAATAAGAATCAGCTCTCAAGAATAATTGAGTTGCCACTGTGTCAAGAAGCCAGTGGATGTCAGTTCATCAAGGTCATCAAGCCCATTTCATGCAGTCAAAGGAACATCAGTACTGTCTGATTAGTCCAAAGAATTGAAGTACTGCCACAATAACAGCGTATTACAGACTTGTAACATGGAAGACTAAAAGGCACACATTATAAATGTCCAGCAGGGTGAAAAACAACCTAAAACCATGTGATGTCAGAGGAATTGACAATGCCTTATGTTCCTGAAATTGGAATAAATTTGAACAGTGAGATTCTCATGAAGTTGAATGTACCTCAAGCTACAGAGAAACACAAAACCCATTTGATGGTCCTTGCCAAGCTGACCTCAAAAATGTGGATCGCATAACTGTCTGACAAGCAAGATAAATCAGTCTAAAAATCCTTAAAAAAAACCCCTTCCCCCAGGAAAAAGTATCCCAAGTCCAATTACCAGTCTTTTACAGGATAGTGGGAAAGGTAGAGAAGCATTGATATTGTAGGTGAGAAACTTCTTTGTAATTCCTAAAGGCACCCTAATGGGAGCTTGAAAACTGGGATTTATATTGCATCAATAAGACACAAGGTACATGCCTCCATTTAACCTTCTCGGTGAAGTTTAGGAAAGAGAAGATACCTCAGTGTTTGGTGCTGGGCCTCTAGCCCTTCAAAGCACTCCAGGGATGCTTCAGTGCTAATTGAAGCTATCGGAAGGGTACTTTCCTTTTTTCATGGAATTGAGCTTTAAATGAGAAGATGGAGTAGGCTTGGATAAATATTTATGCTGTGCACTAGCATATGGTGTTGTTGAAGCAGATGCAATTCAGTCTTAGAATTCTTATCTTATACCAACATGTTACTGATTGTAGAAAAGCATAAATTACACGAGTTGCCATCTGTTTTCAATTACAGCATGAAAACACTGAGGCAGGTTGGGATTTTCCTTTAGCTGTGTTATCAGCTCACTGCTGAATTTGATAATTACATTAGAGTGAGTTGAGAATGGATGTATTTGGAAATGTGAACACTCAGAAAAAGTTGCTGACAAACTGCTTTCATAGCTTGTCCATAAATAGAGAAGCAGCAGAGCTAAACATGCACTAGCACTACCCACAATGAATGCCACTGCTGTAGGGCTTGAATATAAATGTATATATAA